GTGTTCCTGATGTTCTGGCAGAGAGAGAGAGAGAGAGAGAGAGAGAGAGAGAGAGAGAGAGAGAGAGGTGGGGAGAGTGTTCCCTGGGGAGATATCTCCCCAGGGAACAACCCTCTTTCTGCCATAACACAAGACTGAGTCTGCCCCCTCTACCAGGCTGGAATTGCTGGTGAGGGACAGCCCATAAATGGCTTATGTTAATGAAGACTCTTCCCAGAGTCTGAGCTCCAGGAGGGATCATTAGGAGCCACTGGGTTAGCAGAAAGACCTCCAGGGAGTTAGGACTTCTCTGAATGTAATGGTTAGTGGGAACAAAAGCTTGTCCTTCCAGGGAGGCCCCAGGGCTGTGGCCTTGGAAAATGCCTGTAATAAGTAATAAGGATCACCCTCTAATGAGACAGGGAGAGCTGAAAAAAAAATTAAAAATTGTTTAAATATGGGATTTATTTCTGGCTGCTAGCCATGGGCTACAAGTCTACAAGGAGGCTTCAGATTTCAAAGAGATGTGAAAATGGATGAGCCTGGGGAGGGGTCAGCCAGAGAGATGAGAAGGTCATGTAGCTGACAGCTTGCCCCTGGGAATGTCCTATTGACCTCTTGTGTTCAAGCCCAGGCAGATGCCAGAGGTAAAACAAACAGGCAAACAGCCACCAGGAGATGCTGTCCTTGTCTGCAAGAGAACCTCTCAGGAATGCAGGCGGGCTCTGATCCTACCTAGAGACAGGGCCAAGAGCACAGAGACCAGAGTGCACCAGCCCAAGGGAAGCTGGAGGGATGGGACCTACTTTGATAGGGGGACTGGGGTGGGAATATCCCTCAGAAAAGAGGTGCAGAAAGAGGTTTTTCAAATGACCACAGGTGTGAATTTTTTCCTAATTTATCATTTACGACAACCTAGTTATGCACTGACAATGGTTTCAGGTCTCATTTGAATGAGTGGCAGAAACAGGTAGGCAGAGTCGGTTTTTAAGAAGTGGCTTTCTGTCCTTGAATCTGATATCTGGTAAAAGCTATGGCAGCTTGGGAGGGCTGGGTTAGGGAAATGGTAAACGAAAGCAAAATGTCTCTCTCTGACTTTCAAATATTCTGAATTACACTCCAGAGTCACAGACACTATTATGGTCCTTTTCCCTCATATTTTTCCAAAGTTTGATTCATCTTTCTGTCAGAAATCTTGCTTATGCAGCTCCTTCAGATTTTTGCTGCTAACTGCAGAGCTCTTGTTTTTCTTGTCAGCAGTCACCTTAATTGTCCTGCCCAAAGAGCCCCACCCAGCCCCGTTTGGTGCCACATGGTTTTCTTTGAAAGGCTCTGCTGTAACAGCGAGAATTTCTGGGTGTCCTTTTCTAAGTAAACAGGAAGTATCGCTATGTTAAAAAAAAAAAAAAAGATAAAACCTTCTCCTCAGCAAAAATTCAATAATATGCCAACTTATATTTCCTATTAATGTTGCATTAGGAGCAGGATCAATTTCTTACACAGCCCAATCTTTTTCTTAAGATTCTAAACCTCAGTGAGTGAGCAGAATCCCAGGGAAGGCTGGCCAACTAGGATATTTTAGAAATTCACCCACTGATTTTTTTTTTTTTTTTTTTTTTTGAGGCAGTAGCATCACAGGAAAGATAACAATGTATGAAAAAAAAAAAAAACCACACACACAACAACAACAAAACCCTGTGCAAAATCACATTAAAGGGGCAAGATGTTATGCATCTAAATTTTAAGTCACAGCAAGAGTTGTGTTCCAATACTTAACCACCCTTCTATATATGAAAAATCTGAAGCCTTGAGTCAGGAGAATTGACGCATCACAGGAGAAAGAAACACACAAAGATGGCTTTTTTTCCCCCCATCACATCAGAACCTGGGTTCGTGTGTCAGGCAGACGCAGCCCCACGAGTCCTCCACACACGAGCACAGTAGAAGCCAGAAGGATGGGGATTGCTTTGGTGATGCCAACCAGGGAGCCGAAAATTAAGTTTCCCAGGACGGTTGCTGCTTTGCATAGAGCATTCAAGAAGCCGAAGCCCGTTGCCCTTCAAAGGAAAAGAATTATGGACAAGGTTGAGAAAATGATTCTAGCTTTAGACACACATGTTCTATAATAGTAATTTTCAATGCTTTTTAAGTAGATTGTGTTGAGTATCATTGGAGCAAATAATTAAATGCTTGTTAGCAAATCAGGATAGAGAAACCCAGCTGTTGGTATTGTTCTTTCAGGCCTCCTGTTGACTTTCTTACCTTCTCTATTGATTCTTTTTCTGACCATAGGTTCCAATTTATCATGGACAACAAGAGAAGGGTAATTTTAGGAGTCTCTTTTCTCTTGGCCCAATGGTGTTGGAAGAAAGAGTCTCTTATATCAAAGTTAATCTTACCCCATTCAAATCCTTCTCTCAGGAAAAACAGAGTCATGAAGCACACAGTTCATCAGAGAGGCAGCTCACCTCTGGTGAGTGTGGAGTTTGGGCCACCTCCCTCTGACCCCAGGCAAGAAGTGGAAAGCGAGGGTTAGGGAAATTGAGCAGGTTCTCATCTTATCACAAAAATGACACATTATTTTGTTTTGTAAATTCCCATAATTTCAGAGATATCTGTATTTAAAAGGAAACTTAATTTCATTCCAGAATTGAAGTGTATGACAATATATTTCTTTTTACTCCCTTCTTTTCTCTTAGCTAAATCAATTTAAATAGTTGAGGCCCATTGAATTTTCAAAGAAAATCAGGGATGATGGAGTTGGATCCCTTATCTTTAACTTACTGTGGAGCTGAACTACCATGCATTCTTTCTTTGTTTTCATTAGCAGGCAGAAATGGAACACAGGTTGAATATCACCTATCTGAAATACTGGGGATCAAAAGTGGTTCAGATTCGGGAGGTTTTGGGATTTTGGAATGTTCACATAGACTTCACTAGTTGAGCATCCCTAATCTGAAAATCTGAAATTCAAAGTTCTCCTAAATCTGAAATTTTTGAGCACTATGTATTTTCAGATTAGAAATGTTCCACCAGTACTGAGCTGGGTGGCCCTACCAATGAGCTAGTGTGATATTTCTCCTATCATCAGAGTTCTCTGTGGAAAATCAATCCAAGAAAATATTATAGAAGAGAATCAGATTGTGGGCCTAGAGATCTTGTTTGCTGTCCTTTAAGCTGTGCAGGCATGTAAGAAACAATCCTCTGTTCTTTTTGAATCCCCAAGAGTTCATACATGCTGAGCATATGCTCTATCATTGAGCTATATTCCCAATTCCGATGTCCTCTTTCTTTCTTTCTTTCTTTCTTTCTTTCTTTCTTTCTTTCTCTCTTTCTCTCTTTCTCTCTCTCTCTCTCTCTCAACTTTTTTTTTTTTGTGGGGGTACTGGAGATTGAACTCAGGGGCACTTGACCACTGAGCTTATTTTGTATTTTATTTAGAGACGGGGTTTCATTGAGTTGCTTAGCGCCTTGCTTTTGCTGAGGCTGGCTTTGAACTCACCATTCTGTCTCAGCCTCCCGAGCCACTGGGATTACAGGCATGTGTCACTGCGCCTGGCTCTTTCTTTCTCTTTCCCTCTTTTCTTTTCTTTCTTTCCAGTACTGGAGATTCAACTCAGGGGACACTCTGCCATTAAACTACATTCCCCGGCCTTTTTTATTTTTTATTTTGAGATAGGGTCTCACTAAATTGCCCAGACTGGCTTTGAATTTGTGGTCCTCCTGCTTCAGCCTCCCAAATTGCTGGGATTACAGATGTGCACCACCAAGCCCGGTTCACATCCCACCTTTTTTTTTTTTTTGTACCAGGAATTGAACCCAGAGGCACTTAACAACTGAGGCAATATCTAGCCCTTTTTACTTTTTTGTTTTGAAGCAGGGTCTCTCTAAATTGCTTAGGGCTTGGCTAAATTGCTGAGGCTGGCTTTGAACTTGTGATCCTCCTGACTTAGCCTCCTGAGTTTCTGGGATTACAGGTATGCACCACGACATCCCACTTCTTAGTACATTTTTTGGAAAGGATATTTGCTATTAGTCTACATAAATTGAAGGATTTTGCTTTGGTCTTCTAGGCAGAAGATTAAATATTTTTTTTTTCACAACTGTAGATCTACCACAGACATCATAGAGAATATAAATTTCCTTCTGACTTCGTATTTTGGCTCTCACTGAGTCACATTAAATGCAGGGCAATTTTTTTTTTTTTAACCACAAAGGGAAATTCATTTTACATGCTGCAAAATGAAGTATTTAATACACACCTTTCTTTGATTGATTTGCAAGTTTGTAGCTGTGGGGGTTTCCTTTTGCAGGTCCTAACAACTACTCATCACTACTTGCATGGTTCTTAGTGGCATTTTATACAATGTATGCAGCAGGCTCATAACCTCAGAAATGTATGTGGTTATTATCCAGCCACCCACTTTTCACACCATTAGAAAGAAATCAAGGCTCCTCCCTTTGCTGTATGAACGCAGTCTCTGTGTTAATGCAGTACCAATGATTTTGCTAGTTAAAAACACATCTAATAAAGGGCAGCTAGCACAGATTTTCTTTTTGGCTAAAAAAGTAAAGTAAGCAGGCTCTTGAAGGGTGGCAAAGTTGCCAACTCCTTGGAATGAGGAAGAAGTGAAACAAAATCTCTGATGGAAAGAAGCAGGGATTTCTTTTTTTTTCTTTTTTCATTTTTTTGGGGGGTGGGTGGGTACTAGGGATTGAATTTAGGGTTGCTTAATCACCGAGCCACATTCCCAGTCCTTTTTATATTTTATTTTATCTTATTTATTTATTTATCTATTTATTTATTTATTTATTGTTGCCAATGATTAAACCAAGGGGCACTTAACCATTGAGCAATATTCCTAGCCCTTTTTTTATATTTTTATAGACAGGGTCTCCCTAAGGTGGTTGCTGAGGCTGGCTTTGAACTCACAGTCCTCCTGCCTCAGCCTCCTGAGTCACTGGGATTACACCACATCTGGCTTTTATATTTTATTTTGAGACAGGGTCTCATGAAGAAGCTTAGGGCCTCGATAAGTTGCTGAGGCTGGCTTTTGAACTCCTGATCCTCCTGCCTCAGCCTTCCCAGTGGAGAAACAGGGATTTCTTGAGAAGAAGGTAAGTAATTTTGTATTCTCTTTGTATCTAATTTTGTGTTCTTGAAAAAAAGACCTGTAATACCAGTAATTACTAAAACAGCAGGCGGGGAGGGTGGATTTAATATACTAATGACTATTTTCAAATGAAATTGCTGGAGGCTACAAAGAAGACTTGAGTAGAATGACACCAGGTCACCTCTTCCACCTTCATGGTAATGATGTCATGAGTCTGAGATGTCTTTCTGCTATGTATTTTTTCAAAAATTAATAGACTTTTTAAGCATCTTCGGGTTTATAAATAAAAGGTGGGTGAAAATAAAGGAGAATTTCCATATGCCACAGTTTCCCTTTTTACTTATTTATTTATTGGGTACTAGGGATTGAAACCAGTGGCACTTTATCACAGAGCCAGAGTCTTGCTATGCTGCCAAGACTGGGTTCAAACTTGAGATCCTCTTGCCTCAGTTCCCGAGTTGCTGGGATTACAGGCATGTGCCACAGCACTCTATTAATTATATGCATTGCTGTGGTATATTTATGAGAATTGGTGAACCAAACTGATACATTGTCATTTACTGAAGTTCATAGATAATATTAGGGTTCATTCTTGGTATTGTATTTCTATGGGTTCAGACAAGTGTATAATGACATATGTCCACCATTTTAGTTCCACCCAGAGGAATACTTTCACTGCCCTATTCTATGTGACACTATGATGGTGGACATTCATCCTTCCCTCCATTAAACCCCTGGCAACCACGGTTCTTTCTTTCTTTCCTTCTTTCTTATAGTTGTAGGTGGACAGCATGCCTTTATTTGTTTAGTTTTTTCTTTATGTGGTGCTAAGGATTGAACCCAGTGCCTTTACACATGCTAGGCAAGCACTCTGCCACTGAGCTACAGCCCCAGCCCAACCCAGATATTTTTACTGTCTCCACAGTTTTGCCTTTTCCAGAATATCATTTAGTTGAAGTCCTACAATATATAACCCACTCAGACTGGCTTCTTTCACTTTTTAAAAAACTACATTTTTAGTTCTAGATTCTAGAGTCATAAGCTACCAACTGTATCTTATGGTGTTAAGATAAACGGTATCCTTCTGGGGAAAATGGCTAGTGTGTTTGTTGCTGATAAGAGATAGGAAAACATTTTTCTGACATGAAGTCTCTCAATGCTGAAACTGCAGAGTGACCCATGTAGGATTTACACTGGGTTAAAATAACAATGTATTTCCAAGCTATGAACCTCTGGTATAACTTAGAACAAGGTATAAAATGCAGACAGCTACCTCTTTGTATCACTGAAACTGTAACTGAGGAATGGATGACTTCCTAAGATTTCTGGGCAGCAGTAAAGACAGATGCATTAGGAGCATCTGGTATCTCAGGTTTCTAAAAAAGAGAATCAAATCCTTAGATTTGATTCTAAGATCAAATTCTTAGATTCCTAAGAATCTCCATTTTCATTTCCCAAGCAGAGCCAGTACTTCAGAGGAAAATCTGGGTTCATGCAAAGCACACAGCCTCCTTAAATTAGGATTGGCATTCAAGAAAATGTGCCTGCCCTTTCCTTGGATAAGTAAATTATTCCTTCAAATATTTGCAGCTGGAGGGTGTGATTTTTCAATGTATTCGAGACACAGCTGTATTAGAAAAATTATTCACAAAATGACTCTCCCTTGGGTTATCTATTTTTACTATAGTAAGAAGCTTTTAGTTCATTTACTCTCTGTTCTTAATTAAAGTGAAGTTATCCCTTCTGCAGACATGGAAAGGCCAAGTCACCTTGTGCTAATAAAGTCCTTTAAGGGTAGGGAGCTCAGAGCTTGTGGAACCCCCACTCCCTGACTTCTTAGCAGCAGGGTGAGCTCCTGCATTCTTTTCTACAGATGTTTTCCTGCCTTCTCTTAACCAGCAGGAACCAACAGAGAAAAACAGAAAGACCTATTATTTTTCTTGCTTCTCATCTCTCCAGCCAGAATCCTTTGTTCTCAATTATAATTATTGTTCAATCTACTTATTTAATCTTTTAAATTGCCCAGGCTGTGCTGGATCATCCTGCCTCAGCCTCCGGACTAGCTGGGATTACAGGTGTGCCTCACCACATCACAAGTTTTAAGTTTCTAAATTGTAAACAGAACCCCATCGCTGCAGCAAGCCAGTTCCCCATTCCACTGAGGCACTCTCTTCCTGCACCATGGACTCCCTCTCTTTGACATGCTCTTGTGTGAAGCGAGTTGGCTGCAGCACTTAGACTTAGCTGATGGGGGATGTGGCCACCAGAGTGTCCTCTCACTGAGATTGGATAGTGGCTTCCTCTTTGCAGAACTCACAATTTAGCAGGTTCTAGCTTATTTATATTGCTTTGTGTTTTAACTGGAGTCTGCAAAAAGGAAACTGCTGGCTCCTTGGACAGAGTGAGGATAGCATTGACTTACATTCAGGATTTTTTTTTGTTTTGTTTTTCCTGACATTAGTGCAGAACCAACTGTGGATATATATGTTTGTATTTATTTATTTTAGGTTCCTGGGAAGAAGAAAGGGATGCTGAAAAATGGTGGCACTCCTTAGGGTAGTGCCTGGCACAAGGCAAGCACCATGTGGGTATTCACCACTTTAAAACACTGGCTGAATATCTGCCCTACCAAATGATGACATTATTAGGGGAAACAAAACTAAACTAAAGGCTACATTTTGAAACACCCTGAACTGGTATGGATTCATACTCTGCTCATCTAATTTACTTATTAAAGTGTAAAATGTAAGCATCTTTTTTAGTCTAAACTTTTGGAAAGGAGCTTTTTCTGGGGAATGTAGCCAAGTCATTGGCAGAAATTATAAAAGGACCCAGCATGGAGCATTGTGGAAAGTCTAAACAGCCCTTACATCAAATATACATTGTGATCTAAAGATTCATCTGGAAGTTGGTTGTTTGAAACAGAATAAGCCCATTTACCTCACAGAAACAATACTACAAATGAAGGCAAGGTACCCAGGTTAACTCTTAACACTGAACCCATCTGGCTATTGAACTATAATGCTAAGAGCATCAGATGCCCCTTGAATATTTGTGAATAAGCACATTTGTCCTTAATATATTCCCAATTTATAATTCTCCTATGCATTTATTCATTTTATAATCATTTGTTAAGTATCTATTATGTGGCAAGCACTGCACTAGACTCCAGCGACCCCCAAATTAAAAGACAAAGCCCGCATTTGTACTGACAGATGAGATCACAATAACACATACTTAGAGCAATGAGGCAGCATATCATGGGAGCAGGTGAGTGGGAGGTGATCTCAGACTGGGGATGGGCACAGTTGAGAGAAGGCTTCTCAGAGGGGATGGTGAGAATATGATTTGCCTTGAAGGAATAGTAGGAGCTTGCCTGGTAAAGGATGGCATGTGGATAAGTGTCTCTGGTGTCATAATACTCTCACAGCTCCCTAACTTATCTCATGGTACCCACTGTGGTCTGCCTTAGACACTCTCCAAGGCTTCCTGAGTACCATCCGGCCCACCTGTCTCCAGTCAAACATGGCTCTCACTTCTCATGCAGCTGTTTCCAATCTGGGTTAGGATGGCAATTTTATTGAACTAAGGTGCCTAGACATGTATAACCACATCTTTACCTGGTGGCATGGCAATTAAGCTGGGGGGGGGGGGTTAGAAACTCCTGGGAAGTTTGATGATGTGGCCATAAGGATGGCTAGGCTCCTCCCACAGGGATTCTGGCTTTATTGCTCTACTGGAGCATTGGTATGGTTTAGAAGTTCCAAGTGATTTAAAGGTGTATATTATCTTCCCAGAGATGTCTGCATTTTGGAATTGATTTTCATTTACTGTTACATACTAAAAGAAATTACAAAAGCAAAATATCCACTCTACCCCTCCAACAAATAGGTTCATGTCTGAATTCCTTTCAGCATGCAATTCAGTCATGAATCAGAGGATTTATACAACTTTGCTTTCTGCCTCTTATCAATCATTCATACAACTGTTTGTCCCATGTTGTTTTTGTTTCCATGTTTTATTTAGCATGTAACTACGATTTCCAAAACTATATCATTGGTTAATGTAAAAATTTCCAGATTTGGGGTATTATTAATGATACTGTAATGAACACGTTCACCTCTATGACTGTTTACGTTTGGATAAATTTGCTAGGGCACATCAGGCAGTATAATGTAGCCAGAGGAAAGAGTTCACAGTGTGGAGGAGACTGAGGGTCACAGGGGGTGCTGTGCCCATGAGAAGGAAGGGTCCTACCCAGAGTGTCCCTCCCTACTCCTGCTCTTGGTAAGCTTTCTTGTTCATTCTGCTTAATTCATTTTTTTCCAGGGGCCGTCAGTTTCTCACCTAACCTGAAGCATCTCCTTTCCCATCTCTCAGTTGTCTCAGTTTAGACTTTCCTCCTTGCCACTGTCCCTACTCTCTCTGACCTGGTCTGTTTCAAACCTGAGCATCTTATCTGGACTCAGCCTTGTGCAGGTCTATGTCATGTTTGGAGGTCGGCTGGGTAGTCTTTGTAGTCACTCAGCACAACCCTATCTCAGGACTGTCACAGGAATGCCTGTGATACTTGATAAATAAAAGGCTGAACTAAGAAATTTCTTGAGAAGCCTGGGATGGTGGCGCACACCTGTAATCCCATCAGTTTGGGAGACTGAGGCAGGTGGATCACAGGTTTGAGGTCAGCTTGGGCAGCTTAGTGATACCCTGTCTCAAAATAAAGAATATAAAAGGCTGAGGTTGTAGCTCAGTGGTAGAGCACCCTGGGTTCAATCCCTGGTACCACACGTATGCACACACCCAGAAATTTCTCAAGATCTTCCAAAAATGTTGGAGGCAGATTTTTGTTTTATAATTGGCATTTTAATGAGAATTAGTTGGGCGATGTTTGCTTATTGATGCCAGATAAACTTCCTGTTTCAGGGAAAAATAGTTCTACATTATTAAGTCAGAAAAGACTGAATTGCTTTCTGATCTTTAGAGAGAAAATTTGCTTTACTCAAG